TAAATTACCATCTCGAATTTAAACCTTCCCCCATGTGAAATTCCTAATTTAAATTACCATCTCGAAAGGATCGATATTTGGTAGGATCGATATTTGGGGCTTAAACAGAAAGTCCTGTATTACTTGATAACTATACGTATATTTGAATAGAATCCCAATATAAATTGCTTAAATTTCTTATTAACAAATTACAAACCAAGTTTTTGGCATCGCTGCAAAGCAAAGTCATCTTCATTAATTTTCCACGACTATAATTTTCGGGATCAGCTGTAAATTGGGGATTTTTATTTCAGCATTGTTAGTTGCTTTAATTTAATGTTTATTTTTTTAATTTACTTTTCCTAGCAAACCCTTTGATATATTATGTTTCATTTAACGCTTTAAAGCTTATGTTTGTTAATTAGTACCTACAATATGTCAGAGCCAATTTTCATATTCATAATCCTCTTTAGGTTTGTTTTATTTTTATGCATTTACTATTTATTTTCACCTACAAATTTATGTACTACATGTTTTACTTATTATTTAAAAACTTAAATTTGGGGGAAAGAAAAATTTCTTTAAAAGAAGTAAACTAAATTTTATTTATCCTCAATTCACTATATTTTAAAATTAATTTCATATAGCGTTGGATATTAGAGTTTAACTTTAAATAACTATTTTTTTGTAAAAAAATATATTAAATTTAAGAAAAGATCTTTGATATTGAAGGTCAATTCTAGAGTTAAAATATTTAGTATGAAAGAATAAGACTATGCTTTTTCTATTTAAAGTAAAGAAAATTATATTTTTGAAGTATTTAGAGTTTCATATAAAAACTTTATGAAAAATATTAGAGTTATGAAAAATAAAACTAATGTTAGAGTTTCATATAAAAAGAAAAGAATAAAACTTTATGAAAAATATTCAAAGCTAATATGAGTTTATAAAGTGAAGGAATGCAAGAAATTTTAACCTTAAGAAGAGGATAGTGAAGTTCAAAATTATGAAATGCTATCAAGATATAGTAATCCTCACATGAAATATAAGAGAAAAGAAAAAATTGAAAATGATCCTAAAGAAAAAAAATAAAGAGAAAAGAAGAAAAGAGAAGAAAAGAAAAATAAAAAAAAATGTGAGGAGAAGCTTGAGGAGATGCCTATTCAAAAATTGGTTTCTCTTGAATCAACTTGAGGAAAAAGGCTTTATTTTATTTTCTAAACTTGTATCTGAGTATTAATATCCTTACTAATAAAATTTTCATGAAATTATTTTTCATGTGGATATTATAAGTATCTTTGATTTGATAAGTTACAATTCTTCTTGAAATGAATAGAGATTCAGAAATCTTAGGCTTGATTATTAGGTGCTGCAATACTTAAAATTTTAACCTAAGTTGTTAAAATTTTTTCTTAAGTTATATTGTTATATTTATTAAACCAAATTATTGAAGTTTATAAATTAATTTCTGTCATAAGTCATATTTTTATGTAGTAAAAGAATCTCATGAGGACAAGTAACATTTAAGTTTGAGGGATTTTGATACACCAAAATAATGCATAATTTTTTATATACATTTGAAGCTTAATTTTGATGATATTACACTTTAAAAATGGGTACTTTCAAGTTTTATTGCAGATATAACGATTGTAGGTAATTTGAGCAAAAAGGAGCAAAAAGGATGAAATTTGGAGTCAAAGCGAAGCATTTCAACATCTTAGCACCAGAGGCACCTGATCTAGCACTAGAGGTGCCATTTTCAAGAGAGCTGGCACAAGAGGTACCATTTTATAGAGAAGCAATGCCAGAAGCACCAGAATTGGCGTTAGAGGCTCCAGAAACCTGAACAACATGGACTTCAGTAAGCTGGCGCCAGAAATGGAGCTAAAAGCACGAGAGATGAATTAAGACAAAGTAAGGTGATTATGACAATTTTTGCGCTATTTTTGAAGGCTCAAATCAATTCAAACACCCCATGAAGTGATTTAATGCATTTAGACACTTTGGAAAGGCTCTTGAATGAAGGGGCTTGTCTTTTGGTGTGAAGAGGTGTGCCTTTTGGAAAAAAAGGAGGGAATTTTGAATTTTCTTGAAATAAACGCTGAACCTGATTAAAAAAGAGAGGAGTCTAGATAATAAAGTGGAGCGAGAGGTTTGAAGAAAAGAACTTGGTGTGAGAGAGAAGTCTTGGGAGAAGAGAGGATTTTTATAGAGTTGTGAGAGGAGAGGGAAAGTGAGAGATTTCTTCTTCATTACTTTTCTAAGAGAGAATTGAGTCTGATTGTAAAGAGAGAAAGTGCTTAAAGGGAATTTCAAGGGAATTGCTTGAGAAGGAGTATTAGATAAGTTGTGTTCTTTCCTTTCTTTGTTATGTAAACGTGTTTTTATATATAAAATCTATGTTTTGCCGTATCATTCTCATGAATCATGAGTAGTCTTCTTTATCCCTTTCTCTATAATGAAATATGGTTTTGTGAAGAATTAATTTTGTTATATAAGGTTTTAAATATCAATAAATTGTGATGATTCAAATTATGATCTTTATTATGATCTTTATTATGATCTTTATTTACTTTTCGATCTGTTCAATTGAAATGTTAAAATTTGTTGAGAAACATAAAATCTGAAAGAGCTATGTTTTCTGCAATAAGGTAAAAGTCATATTCAATTTCATGGGTGAGAAAGTAGTTCATGGGATTGCATGCAAATAAATCGAGAAATATATTTTGATGGGTGCATAATTGGAAATAAATAAGGAAATATACTTTGATGGGTGTATAATTGGAGATTTTAAGGTAACATATTAAAATCCACAATTTAGTCCAATTGCTTAGAAACTAAAGCAAGATTGTTAGCCCTCAGGGGAGGGAGAAGTGAGAGCTTTGGAGTGGCAGCCAATATTTTCTCAACCTAACCACAGATTTAGGGACCAAGCTTTGGATTAGTCAATGTTCTTTATGCACTCTCAGAAGGTAAAGAATATGATTGCTCCTATTTGACACAAAACAATTTTATATGTATTTTAAATGAATTTAATTACTTCACAGTCCATAAACTCATTTTAAAGGGAAATGATGCATTCTTAAATATGAACTCTTTGTTACAAAACTTAGTTTAGACTTTATATGTTTACTTTTGAAGTTTAGCAATTAGTTTAGTTAACATAGTTCTTTTAATTGCGTTTCATTTAGCATACAATAAATTTGCTTTAGATTTGTTTAGTGTATCTAAGTTTTATAGATTGAATATTGTGTTTGACGTTATAACCATAAGAATTTCCAACTTCCTATGAGATTGATACTCAGAACTCCACTTGAGCCCTTTATTATATGAGTGATACGTATACTTGCATTATTATTACGGTTTGGCTGCTTAAAAATTTTAAAAAATAAAAAATATTTAGACTGAATTATTTATTATGGGATTGAAGTGCATATTTAGTCTTTGTGCTGACGTGTGTGTATTGTAATATTGAAAGATATTTGCAATGCTCCATAAAATTTATCGCATTAGTTATCTGACTGAGTTTCTTCCCGGTGTTATCGACACTTACCTCGCAATGTGGATAGCTTTGGCTCGGAATGGTCCATCAAACTCATCTTTTGCATGTGATTTCCCCTGTTGCCGAGTGTGTGCTATAGGGGCGATAAACTCTTTGGGCTTTCTAGCCGAATTAACACTTCAACTAATCTATAGAAGTGTTTGCACCGCTTCATATCATGGTCGTGGTGTTGTGGTCCTTGCAGAACTTATTGGTGTTCTGGAGGAAGGCTCTAGTTTTCATCGTCGGGCCCTATAGGAAGTATTCTTTGTCATGGATAACTTTCACCATTTCTGCCATCGAACCACTATTTGTGTCAGTCTCGGCATTTCTAGATCATCAGCTAGGAAATCATTCGATTGGCTGCATCTTTTTGTGTTTCGATTGGCCTCCCTATCCCTACGTGACGACCATCTTCTTTCACGTTTAAAGCGAGGACCATGCTTCTCCTTGACCATTATTTCATCGATTAACGGTCAAACATCTCACCTATTGAGACAGGCGGGTTCCCGTACTTTTTCGGTACTTTGGCCAATTCGATGAGTTTGATTGAGATTATAATTTTCACTAACCTAGTAAATACTTAAACAATTAGCTCTTATGCAAGAGCGGCCTTTGCATTCATCGCCTACAGATTCATACCTCGAGCATCTCCTTTCGGAATCGTATAACATATTCCAGCAAGCTCTCATTCGGTCCCTGCTTAATCTGCCACAAAGATTCCTGATTCTGGTGGGGTTTTTGGGCCTCAGTGAACTACACATTAAAAAACTTTATGAACTCTTCGAAGAAAGTAATAATCCCGATGGAGAGTCCGTTGAACCATCTAAGGGTTGAATCCCAAAATGCAGTGTAAAGTAGCTGATCTTTCAATGCGTTGGAAATTTTGAGAAGACATATACCCAACTCAATGAAAGCAGTATGAATGGCTGGATAGCTTCAACCCTGGTATTGCTCCGAAGATGGAACCTCAAACTTCTCGGGGGATTTTGTATTAATTATCAGTTAGAAACACATTCTTCAACTGGCAGAACACTTCTATTTACCCCTTTTACAATTTGTTCCTTGACATTTATCCAACACTATCTTGGTATTAAGATTCTTCCACCCTTTCAACTCCTTGAGCAAACTACTGACCTTGGGCTCGGGTGCTAGAGGATTAGATAGTGGGAGGGGCTACTCTCCCTTAAACACTACATAAGTCAACTATACAATCTAACCCACCATTCAATCTTAGATTTGCCGAATTTGTTATTGTATAAATTCTCTCACTAATTTTATATTAAAATTGGTTAAAATTCTCCAATGTCTACTATCTTTTTCGTGCCACACTGTTGTTGAATAAATGACTCCAAGTTCACAAATTCTTTGAAATAGAATTACAACAACATCAATAATAATAATAATAATAATAATAATAATAATAATAATAATAATAATAATAAAACATAAAATTTTGCTCAAGAAGGCAGCTCTGCAAGACCGTTCTCCCATGTAACTCGGCAACTCCGTTCTCTCGTCAGCCTCATGTCCTAAGTTTTCAATTGCTCGTAATCGCGCCATAACTATCATCTCGAAATGCCGTCAAGCTACAGCTAAAAAGATTCAAAGAAAGAAACCATATTCCATCCCAGTAACCTGTTCTAGTCATCAACATATAATAGCATCCACTGCATGAACAAGTGAAACTGTTTCTGCTTCATCTTTTGGTCTGCCATCCACGGACTTTCGTCAATATCAACTTTTACAATGATATATCCTACCCATACAAATTGGGAAAAAAAATACAATGAAAATGGCGAATTTACTCCTAAATTTGCCAGAATTTTCTTTCCCTTAACATAAAATTCACTCATCCTCTGTCTCAAAATTGCCTCCTGAGATCCACCACCACAACGCTTACGTTGTCGGCACTTTGACGCGCAAGCGCCAGCTTCGTGAGCAGCATCGCCGCATCCGCGCACGCCTTATCGGAGCTAGGACGGCTCGGGTCACCCACAGGCAGTCCGCTGCCTCGCAACACCATTCTTACGATCTGGCATGCTGTCTCGTTAGTCACCACGTCCCAAAGCCCGTCGCTCGCCAAGATCAGGCAGTCGTCCCCTTCTCCCCTCGTCGTCACTGTCACCTCCGGCTTCGATATCACGAAAGGCTTTAGATAGTTATCCCCTGTGATATAAATAAAAATAAAGTAAGCGCTTACACCACAGAGATCGCTATAAGCTTTCTTAATTAGATAGCAAGCAGCCGATCTCAATATTTCACCTATTGCTCGAGACATGGCGAGTACACCGAGAACCCTCGCGCCGTCCCAGTAGATCACGCGGCCGCCAGCATCCTCTATTCGTCGGAGCTCATCTGGACGATCGGGCTGCAGTTACACAAGAAAACGAACGGTTACTTGAACGGATTTAGGAGAAGAATCAATAGATCTTGGATTTTAGTGATTGAATCACTGACCTTGTGATCGTCAGAGAGGGAGACAGGAGAACCGTTGCGGCAGAGAACGGCACGAGAGTCGCCACAGTTAGCGACAATGATGTGCTCACCAGAGACTACGGCAACTACAGCAGTGGAGCCAACGTGATCGCATTTGGGAGTCTGGAACTCACATCGGCAGGCGGGTATCTCAGGCCCACGGCGCCTCGTAGCCGCTTCCGCGTCCATGCTAAAGAAGCTCGTCTCCATGAGACTCTGCCAGTCGAGACTTGTAGAAGGATTCGACTCGAGCCGATCCAACTCTTCCGCTACGATTTTGTGCATCCTCTCCTTGCAAGAAACGGCAACCTATAGATTGTAATAACCATTAGTCGATCATGCCATAGGGGGAAAAAAAGAAAAAGGGCAACGAAAACCTAGAGAAAAAGAGGAGCTAACATGAGAACATCCGTGACCATCATAAACACCAAAAAAATGATATCTTTCAGGAATCCTGTCGAAACGTTGGAGAAGATCAGGGTGGACGGAGAGGGTATCCTCCATGTCCCTACGCCGTCCACAAACCGACATCACACCGTACGTGGGACACTCGTTCAATAGAGCCACAGCAGCCTCTGTCGATGCAGATCGGGCCTCGTCTACGGATTCAAAACTGGGACAAATAGCTACTTCACCGGCCTCGGTTCCAGAATAAGCCCGGCTGTCGAGAACGCAGCAGGATTCATCCTCCTGAGTTTTAGATGCTACCTCCTTGATCGGCGTAGTTAATTCCATCTTCTGCCTTTTCCGATTACCTTCTGAGGATTGTGCCAGTGAATCAACACCTGCGACAAACTTAAATCGCTCAAATTCTATCCTCCGCCTCCTTGCAGTGCGAGAAACCGTCTCCCGGCTATCCGTTACAGTCACCGCTACAGCTGGCTCGCCTCGGCTAACTACTCCGCAGCATATCTCCGCCATTACCCGATCAAAATCTGGTAAGGGATCGGGTTCGAAATCGAGAGAGAAAGAGAGGAAACAAAATTATTTCCGCCGTTCATCGGCCACCGAATACATGAGTTAAACATTTTGCTGCTCAACTTTTTTTTCATCCAGAGATAGAACGGGCATCTGCCCGTCACCGTCACGGGCAGCGAACAAGCCCGACAAGCAGTTCCACGTCGTAGTCTCCGCCCGCTAAAATGCATCAAGACCGTTGGTTTTGGAAAGCTGTTTGTATCACCGAACGCCTGGAGCTTCTGGGAGGACGCGTGGTTGCGTCGTCAGTGGTGGCCTTTCGCGAAAAGCAGGGCCCCTACGACAATGACACCGGAAATTACTCCATTGAATAAAATTTTGTAGCCCTCGTGGGATGTTTCGATTGGAACAAGCGGCGTGTTTTTAACGATTTGATAGGAGGTTTGATAGTAAAGGTTTAGATGCGAAGCACGTGTCTATTTCCAGGAAGATATGGAGAACTTATATACGTTGAGCTGTGTGACGGCCGCAGAATATATCCCGCTTTACAGCAACGTGACACGTGGCATTTTGCTGGTGTGTCGTCCAGCTACGGCTTCTTTCTGAGGAAGACACGTCGGGCAGTTTGGTAAGCAGCTGTAACCAATGGGATTGAGCACCGCATATTACAATCAAATAAAATTTTTTTTACGAAAATTGAGGGATCAAATGCAATTGGATTAACGGTCTTGATTGTCGGACACGTATTTTTACGCGCGTCGTATTTGAATCGCAAGAAACACTTTCTCACTCTCTTTTATTATTATTATTATTATTTATTTATTTTTATTTCCTTTCTTGTATGAATACATATATGATGTTTATGGACACATGCCCAAAGCCTAGTTCAAATTTGACTCATCTTTACTTTGCTGGTTTGGCACAAAGCAGTCGTCGATTTGGTTGTTAAACGATTTGCCAAATGAATATATTCCAAGTTATTACGAATTTAAAGGGCTCTTCGTTTCACACTTTTCAAACGTACAAGAACTGGGAAAAGACTATGATACCTTGATCGACCTCAAGCTAGGAGAAAACAAGAGTTTAAGGGCCTACTTCGCTTACTTCCAGAATGACATGTTGGAAGTTAGAGACGTGAAACCTAATATAGCCAAACCGCTTTGAAATGAGGAGTCCACACAGTTCATGTATGACCTAAACCTATTTAACCGTACTACTTTTGCAAAGGTATTTGAGATGAAGAACGAGCAAATACTTGTCGAAGAAGACCTTTAGGGCTCCCCGAAAGGGTTCATCATAGTTGTCTAACCACCCATCAAAGAAGCGACATGAATAGGGTGTATTGCATAAGGCGAACAACAATTGTCCTTTACTGATCACCACAACTACAACAACTCCCGGCTTGGGATCAACGAGGAAATGACCGAGGGCAGCTTAAGCAAAAGAGGCGCTCGGACCAACGATCAGCCCAATATTACGAGCGATCACATTTTTACTAGGAAATGTAATGTTTGATATCTCTCAAAGTGTCAATGATTGAAATAGTTCAGACTATCCAAAATAAAGACTACTTCTAACCAGCCTTGCCGATAAAGGCGACCCCAGCCTTACGAGATCCGAAGGGACACTGCCAATATCACCGTGACCACGGCCATGACACTGAGGAATGCCATCACCTTTGAAATTATATTGAGGAACTCATCCGTGCCTAAAAGCTTAAAGAGTTTGTTGCGGTCTGCAAGCACACGTAGTGACAAAGTAAAGCTCCAATAGGATGATACACCAAAAAAATGTGTAATTTTATGTATATATTTTATGCATAAATTTAGTGATATTATACTTTAAAGATAAGTATTTCCATGTTTTGTTTTAGGTATATTGATTCTAGGCATTTGGAGCAGAAAGAAGGAAATTTGAAGTAAAAAATACGGATTTTCAAAATGCACTGTCGCCAGAGGCACCAAAATCAATATAAGAGGCGCCACAGACGTCAGAATCCAAAAGAAACATGGGAGTCTGGTTAATAGGCATCAAAGTCGGTTATGGATGGATTTTTGTCGATTTTTGACTATTTTAAAATGTTCTAGAAGGCTTCAAGTAACTTAAGTGCCCCATGGAGTGATCCAGTGCATCTAGACACTTTGGAAAGGCTCTTGAATGAAGAGATATGTCTCTTGAATGAAGAGATTTGTCTCTTTGAATGAAGTGGTGTGTCGCTTGGGAAAAGAAGGGATTTTGAATTTCTTTAAAAGAGAGGAGTTAGTGCTTATGGTGGTGTGCCTGGTTGTGAGTGTTGTCTTCTTTTATGTCATGTGTCATTTGTGTCTTCTCTCGTAGTGTGTTGTGAGTCACATAGTGTGTAGAAGAGTCTTGTATGTGGAGAGAATTTTCTTTAGCAGTTATAAGAGGAGAAGGAAGGTGAGAGATTTCTTCTTCATTACACTTCTGAGAGAGAATTCAGTTTGGTTTGTATAGAAAGAAAGTGCTTCAAAGGAACTTCAAGGGGGGTTTTCTTGAGGAGGAGTTAGAGATAAGTTGTGTTATTTTCTATCATTGTTTTGTAAACTTATTTTTATATATAAAATCCATGTTTTGTCATTCCTTTTACATGAATTCTGAGTAGTCCTTTTTATCCTTCTCTCTACAATGAGTTATGATTTGGTGAAGAATTAATTTTGTTGCGTAAGGTTTTAAATGTTTAAAAATTATGATGATTCGAACTCTGAACTTAATTAATTTTTTATCTGACTAATTGAATTGTTAAAAATTTGTTGAGAAATATATAGTCCGAAATGGTTATGCTTTCTACAATAAAGTGAGAATTACATTCAATTTTATGGATGAGAATGAAGTCCATGGGATTTATTGTGAATAAATAAGGAAATATACTTTGATTGGCATAGAATTGGAGATTTTAGGGTGACTGACTCTCTAAAATCTCCAATTTGGTTTAGGGGTTTAGAAACCAAAATAAGATATTAGCCCTCATGCAATAGGACGTCGTTACTCTAGAGTGAGAGCCAATATCCTCTCAGCCTAACCACAGATTTATGGACCAAATGTTGGATTAGCCAATGTTCTTTTTACTCGTAAAGAGGAGAAAGAATAGAATTGCTCTTATTTGACAAAATAAAAATTTATATAATTCTAAACAATGTTGATTGCTTCACTAACTATAAATTCATTTTAATGAGGATATATACTTTCTTAAATTTGAACTCTTTGTCACAAAACTTAGTTTAGTCTTAGTAAATTTAACTTTGAAGTTTAGAAAATAGTTTAGTAAACTTATTTCCGTTAGCATACATTAAACTCATATTAGCTTGTCTTTCTTACTTTAGTTTTTATAGTTTGAATATTGTGTTTTACGTTATTATCATAAAAATTACCTCCTAGGGATCGATACTTTGGACTCCATTAGAGCACTTTATTACTTGAGCGATGTGTATAATTACGTTTGCAACCTAGTGTCTATTTTAAATAAAAAAATATACCTTAAATCACTAGTAGTGGCATCATAAAGATTTTAAAATTTAAAACTTATTATACTGAAGTGATTATTATTGTTATTGATCTGCATATTTCTTAATTGTGTTATCGTGTGTGTTCTAGCGTTGAAAGACATTTATTGCACATACAAAAACCTCGCATATCAATTTTTTTGAGGCATTGTTGGGGAGGTAACGATAAATTACTTTTTAATTTAAAAGACATTTTTTGAATTATAAAACATATATTAATCGTAGTAAAATAAATATTTTTACATTTATGTGTGTTTGCTTATTTTAATTGCTTATTGTGTTTGTGTATGCATAGTTTAGGATCCGAAGGTTTAGTACCTTACAATTCAGAACTAGGAAGAACTATAAGAAAATTTTGAAAACAAAAAAAAGAACCTACTAATTTGAACAAAATGGCTAACAACTTAAACAATCAAGAATTTGAAAATGAACGTCGATAGAGACCTTTAAAAGATTATGTTAATCCTACAATAGATGAAATTCACTTAAGTATACAAAATCCTAATTTAATTGCTAATTCATTTGAGCTTAAACTTGTTATTATCCAAATGTCGCAAAATAATCAGTTTGGGGAAACACCGACTTAAGATCCTAACTTACAACTTGCTAGTTTTCTAGAATTGTGTTGCTACATTTAAACATGATGGAGTGTCGAATGATGCCTTCAGACTTAGATTTTTTCTTTTTTATTAAGGAATAAAGCTAAGATGTCATTAAACTCTTTAGCACCTGAATCTATCAGAACTTGGGGAAACGATATCACATATTTCTGTCAGTTTGAAAGAGAATCAATATATGACGCTTGGGAATGATTTAAGAATCTCCTTAGAAAGTGTCCCCACCATGCGTTTCCAGATTGGTTAATAATTCAAATATTTTATAATGGATTAGTGAGATCTCATAGATTTATTATTGACACTGTTGTTGGTGGATCGTTAATGTCAAAACCATTCGATGAAGCATATTCTTTAACTGACGAGATGACTACTAATAATTTTCAATGACACTCTAAAAAGTTAACTACAAAAAGAGTAGCTAGTATTCAAAATTACCTCCTAGGGATCGATACTTTGGACTCCATTAGAGCACTTTATTACTTGAGCGATGTGTATAATTACGTTTGCAACCTAGTGTCTATTTTAAATAAAAAAATATACCTTAAATCACTAGTAGTGGCATCATAAAGATTTTAAAATTTAAAACTTATTATACTGAAGTGATTATTATTGTTATTGATCTGCATATTTCTTAATTGTGTTATCGTGTGTGTTCTAGCGTTGAAAGACATTTATTGCACATACAAAAACCTCGCATATCAATTTTTTTGAGGCATTGTTGGGGAGGTAACGATAAATTACTTTTTAATTTAAAAGACATTTTTTGAATTATAAAACATATATTAATCGTAGTAAAATAAATATTTTTACATTTATGTGTGTTTGCTTATTTTAATTGCTTATTGTGTTTGTGTATGCATAGTTTAGGATCCGAAGGTTTAGTACCTTACAATTCAGAACTAGGAAGAACTATAAGAAAATTTTGAAAACAAAAAAAAGAACCTACTAATTTGAACAAAATGGCTAACAACTTAAACAATCAAGAATTTGAAAATGAACGTCGATAGAGACCTTTAAAAGATTATGTTAATCCTACAATAGATGAAATTCACTTAAGTATACAAAATCCTAATTTAATTGCTAATTCATTTGAGCTTAAACTTGTTATTATCCAAATGTCGCAAAATAATCAGTTTGGGGAAACACCGACTTAAGATCCTAACTTACAACTTGCTAGTTTTCTAGAATTGTGTTGCTACATTTAAACATGATGGAGTGTCGAATGATGCCTTCAGACTTAGATTTTTTCTTTTTTATTAAGGAATAAAGCTAAGATGTCATTAAACTCTTTAGCACCTGAATCTATCAGAACTTGGGGAAACGATATCACATATTTCTGTCAGTTTGAAAGAGAATCAATATATGACGCTTGGGAATGATTTAAGAATCTCCTTAGAAAGTGTCCCCACCATGCGTTTCCAGATTGGTTAATAATTCAAATATTTTATAATGGATTAGTGAGATCTCATAGATTTATTATTGACACTGTTGTTGGTGGATCGTTAATGTCAAAACCATTCGATGAAGCATATTCTTTAACTGACGAGATGACTACTAATAATTTTCAATGACACTCTAAAAAGTTAACTACAAAAAGAGTAGCTAGTATTCAATTCTGA